AGACAAACTATTAGTTTCATTTTCTTTTGACTGTGATCCAATACTTCGTGATCCAATACTTCATGAATTAGATGTTCTTTTGCAGCATTTTGTAATCATTGTTTACATGGGAAATAGGACATAAAGCTTAAAACTTAACTGATTATCTATAGATTACAGAACTTGTTTATTCCTTGTGTAACGTGCACACACACACACACACACACACACACACACACACACACACACACACACACACACACACACACACACACACACACACACACACACAAATATATACATGTACATGTCTCCTAAGCCCCCCACGAGAACAAGAAGCAAGGGGTAACCATTACACTGGGAAGTGCACTTGCCCGCTTACAAACTGGACTCACTCACCTCACACATTCCATCTCATGTCACAATCTGATGCACCTCTATGCTCCTTATGCAATCTTCCTCTTTCAGTTCCACACATCCTGTTATCCTGACCCTGTTTTACAGTAATCTGTAACTCGGATTTTCCTCCCTCACCCTAACCTCCTGGATCCCCTACCCTATTGGACATCCTCCCAGAATTCCCTATTTCTTCCTTAGATAGCTAATTCTCTTTCCTCATATGAGCCAATTGCACCACTCCCTTAACTCCTTCCCCAGATGCCCTTCCTGACACCAACCCTCTCTATTTACCCGGGCTTGGGACTAGCACTGCCTTGGGCTAGCTTGCCCGCCCAGTGGCTAGGTTCTTAATTCCATCTACTGATTCCTGTATTCCTCCTCCAGGTGCAGTATCCACTTTGCTCACTCTGCTACCTAACCAGATTCATCCAGCCCTCATAAATTCCTTCACACATGAAATCCATGTTCTGACATTCTCTCTCACTTCCTTTATTTTGGGGTTAGCTAATTTGGCTGGCCTGCTTCAGTCTACTGAAAACTGAAACTTCCCAATGATACTTTTGTAATGATTTTCTAACTGTCATTCAACCATACTTCCTGGGAACAAAGTGAAATGTGTTTGTATCTCTTTATTAAGAAAACTACACTTACAGTGGGAAAATTAAAACATTTCATATCACAGATTGAACAACAATGTAACATTCAAAACTATGTACTAGATGTTTTAAGCAGTACCTTAATTAACTAGGTCATTCATCTTTCAATGCAGAAGCATACCTTCACATGGTCTAGCCCTTCACTGACCAACATAAACAGAAATAAGGTTTCCATACTATGTTAGGGCTGTCTCGAGCAATGCGAATGCTAAAGTGTTTGAATGTTTTATTTCATTTTTCTTCAGTAAATTTTTAAAAATACTTATGATTTCACATATTGCAAAATTATCCACATACTAAATTACTACATACCATAAAATTTTGTGTGTGTGCGTGTGTGTGTGCGTGTGTGTGTGCGTGTGTGTGCGTGTGTCTGCGTGTGTGTGCGTGTGTGTGCGTGTGCGTGTGTGCATGTGTGTGTGTGTGCGTGTGCTTTATAAATAAACATTCTATTTAATGTTGTATGCTATGCTTCATTATACACAAGAAAAAAGCTATACAGCTTACAGAGCAGCAAATTATAAGAATTTTAATGCTAAAAGCCTGTTCTATTACAATGTCACATACCCAAAGGAGGGAGGGAGGGAGGGAGGGAGGGAGGGAGGGAAAGAAAAGAAAAGAAAAGAAAAGAAAAGAAAAGAAAAGAAAAGAAAAGAAAAGAAAAGAAAAGAAAAGAAAAGAAAAGAAAAGAAAAGAAAAGAAAAGAAAAGAAAAGAAAAGAAAGAAAAAAAAAAGAAAGAAAGAAAGCAAGGAATGAGGATGTGAGTGAGAGAGAGAGAGAGAGAGAGAGAGAGAGAGAGAGAGAGAGAGAGAGAGAGAGAGAGAGAGAGAGAGAGAGAGAGAGAGAGAGAAAGGAATGAGGATGTGAGAGAGAAAGGAATGAGGATGTGAGAGAGAGAGAGAGAGAGAGAGAGAGAGAGAGAGAGAGAGAGAGAGAGAGAGAGAGAGAGAGAGAGAGAGAGAGAGAGAGAGAGAGAGAGAGGGAGGGAGAGGGAGAGGGAGTAAATGAGAGCATGACAGAGTAACAGAGTGAGTGAGAGCAACTGGATGCGTGTGGGAGTGGGAGTGGGTATGCATTCAATCTTACATTTTAAATCTTCATACCCTCCTTTCTCCCTTGATTTGGTGAAAAACAATCTATCAACAATTATCATCAATATCCATACATTCCAATTATTTCCCCCATCACCTTCCCTTTCATCTTTAGAGCAAAATTATGAAGAAGAAAAAATATTCAACACAAACAGCCATTAACATTACCTTCAGAAGTCATTTTTACTTACTATTACATACCTAACATTTACATGTGCTGAAGAATGGATTTTCAGGCCACCCAAGATGTATGCTTTGTTTCTATACAGCTGGAAGTATTTTGGTAAGGTCACATGAAACATTTTACTGCTTGATAAAAAAAAAAATAATAAATTAAAAAAAAAAAAAAAAAAAAAAAAAAGTAAAGTCATTCACTTCAAGAAATGACATGTAGTGTAAGTCCTTAGTCAATACATCACTTAACTAACTGGATTGACATATCTTGATACATTGCTTCACCAAGATTCACTTATCAGAGCACTTGCTGTAATGTATCTTCATATATACTTCTAATTAAACTCAGGACAGTTTGAATCGGAAGTTCGCCTTTATTCATGTTTCAATGGAACTGACAAACAAAATTCAATGAATAAAGATGTGGCTAACACTTCAAAAGTTTACAGGTTGATGTATCATGTTCTTGCACATAAATTATATATCTTAACTTTCAGTATCAACACTCCTTCATTCAGCGTTTAGAAATATAATTTAGTAAATATATACACCATCTCCACTTTTCTTAAGTAAACAAAATGGTAATGTTCATAATGCATGTTACTGAAACACAAAAATCTTAGTAACATAAATATCAGGAATTAAGGATAAATACTTGAGCTTTTGTAACACAGACCATTGTAAATCACCGATACTGGAGCTGAGATTTAAAATATTCCTCCAACATCTCAAATATATTTCTCAAAAAAAAAAAAAAAAAAAAAAAAAAAAAGTCAAACTTTCATTGAAGAAGAAGAAGAAGAAGAAGAAGAAGAAGAAGAAGAAGAAGAAGAAGAAGAAGAAGAAGAAGAAACATTGACAACATCAGACTTTCCAAAGTTAAACCTGAAGCATCAGATTTTTGGCTTTATAAAACCATATTATAAATAATAATAACTACCAAAATGCAGAATCTATCCATAAGTTGCATGACCAGAAATACGTTGAAAAAATGACAGCAACAGAATTTACAAGAACGCTTCCTCCTTCCAAGACAATACATTCACACATCTTTGCTACAAAGTCTTTTCCCCTTTTTCGTTACTCTTATCCGACCACATTACTACTTATAAAAACGCAAACCAATAACTTTACTCTTTCCCTGATGTTTTGATACTACAAAGCTGCTCGTAAAGAGGGTTTAATAACACTGGGAAAGACTGTCTCTTCAGTGGATTACCCATTGACTCTCCTCCTTTGACTCTTGGGAAAAAAGTCCCATGGATAAGATCTTGTTAATAACTAAGCTTCCATCAGTTTTATATTATATACATTAGATGACATGATTTGTATCCCTGCAAAATTTTTATTTAATGACATCATTTTCTCCCAAAAAATATTTTACTTTCACAGACCTATGCATATTGATATTTGTTTGAGAGTACTCTGTGACAATAAGAATCTGTTTCATAATGTTAACACAATAATTATTTTCATTACAAATTTACCTAATCATCAATTTTCCAGAAACATTAAATGATATTTATAAGAGGCAGACTTTTATCTACATCTATATCACTCACTCTTTAATAAAAAAAGAAAAAAAAGAAAGAAAAAAAAGAAAAAAAAAATTATATATATATATATATATATATATATATATATATATATATATATATATATATATATATATATATATATATATATATATATATATATATATATATATATTATATATATTATATATATTATATATATTATATATATTATATATATTATATATATTATATATATTATATATTATATATATTATATATATATATATATATATTATATATATTATATATATTATATATATTATATATATTATATATATTATATATATTATATATATTATATATATTATATATATTATATATATTATATATATTATATATTATATATATTATATATATTATATATATTATATATATATATATATATATATATATATATATATATATATATATATATATATATATATATATATATATATATATATATATATATATATATATATATATATGGTCTCCTCTTGAAGACAAAGCCAAAACCCCTTCATTTTATATTACTTCACAGGACATGAACTAAACCAAATCCTAATTCACCAACAGAACATTTATAAAGGTAATAAGTAAACCCAAGAGACAATAAGTACAAAACTTCTTCAGAAAGTATTAATAGGCTTTATTTTAGCACCTGTATAATATTAAAAGAAAAAATTGAAATACTACATCTTTTAAGTATTCCATCTAAGTTATAATTTTCAATAAAGAAAAACCAAGTTCAGCCTATCTAAATGACCTTTAAATATGCTTTCTATGGAACCTACAGGCAGACAGTTTTACATTATAAGAGTTAAAAAAAAAAAAAAAAAAAAAAAATGCATCTAGAAGATAAACAAATTTTAGGATTTCTTTGTTTTATCATTGCAAGTTTAAGCATCTCCCTCTACATATTCCTGAAGAAATTATAATATTTTTGTTATCTGAACATTTAACGAATTTAGTAAGAAAATTGTAGACACAAATACTTTACAAATACATCCACATAATAATAGAAAAAATATATCTAAAAAAAGGAATAATAACCTCCAGGAAACACTCATTAGTCCATGCTACATTTTGTACAGTTCATATAATTACATACACTCACTGCTCTTCTCCCATTCCCTACACATCATGGAAACCGATCTTGGTGCTGCAACACTAAGCAATGCAGGACATTAATGCACAGACCCAGCAGGAGAATCCACAGCGGCAACAGAACGTGGTAAGATGTAATTCTCGTCGTCTCGTGATTCTGCTTTAGGCACAGGGCCACCATGAATGCCATTTTGAGAATGACAGCCAGCAGGGGCCAGACCCGTTTCAGGATGGCTGAGAGACGCTGCCTGGCCGTGCGGTGGTGAGAGCCCCCTGATACTCCAACAGCCGTGCGGCATTCATTGATCATGTGGATGCTGATGTATATGAGAAGAAGTGCATCATAGAACCACATAGGGATAAAGACAATGAACCAATTCCATTGGGTTCTGAGGTCAAGCCGGAGTGCAAGCAAGATGAGAAAGACCAGGAGGAGGAACCAGGTGAATAATGCACGGTGTAGCATTGCCATGGCTGAGGTAATTCCGTGTCCACCTGGATCGCTGTCACACCGATGAGACTCTTCTCCTCTTGGTCTTTTACAAATGATGGTAGAAATCTCCTTAACGGTGCTCTATCTCTTTGCCACCTTGAAAACGAACCACTTTCTTAAACTGGAGAACACAATGCTACTCTCATATCCCACCAAATGCACAACATTCCATCCTATGACATGGATAAGGAGTAGGGATCCTCAGACCTTTTTTCTTTTTCATACTTTAGCTGTGTCTTCTTGTTCAGGCCCTCCTTTTCCGTGTTAAGATGATACTGCTACTATGTTTGTCGTCCCTTTTGTCCCACGAGCAATGGCCTGTACGGGTGTAGCGTGCCGGTCCAACGTTTACAATCTGTAACAAAAAGTATGTGTGTAATTTTTGTTAGAGCTATAAGATTTTTTGTGTATGTGCATGTATACGTATGTATGTGTGTTTAAATGTATATGTGTATGTGCACGTGTGTGTGTGGTATAGTGATATGGATACAGTGGCCAAGGAGATCAACCACAATTATGTCAGCACTCGATGGAGGATCCTTCAGAATTGCAGGGTTTACCGGAGTGCTGAGGTCTGTGGTAGTGACCGTAGGCTGGTAGTGGCAACCCAGGGGGGGGGGGGGGGGGGGGTTGCATGTGTAGGTAATTATTCATGGTATTTTAAATCACTTGCCATTGCATATATGGCTCTTGTCATTACTATTCATAATCATTCTACTAGTTCCTAATCTATCAACATTACTGGCAAAAAACCTTGAGACCTCATCCCAATTAAGCCTCAAAAGTAATGTCTCCATACAACTTGTGATGTGTGCTTATGCAATGGCCGCCCGGTTACGTTTGGCAGAGAAGCAGTAAACCTAATGCTGGGCAGTGACACCCAGATAACACAGCACCATTCCCTCTCTGATGCTCAAAGGCTGTGGTAACTGCCCGCTTCTCTACCCACATTCACATCATTTCTAGCAAACAGCAACAGTTGTCACAGAATTAACTAGAATGCCCAATAGTTATATGAGTAAGGCAGAGGAGGTTTGTGTTCTCTCACTGATGGAACAGAATGTGTCAGTCAAAGAAATCTGCACCTAGTTGGGCGCTCTAAGGCAACCATTTGCCACCTGTTGGCTACTGCTCGCAGCCAGCCTACTTATGTCACAGACAACACACCCCTGGTTGCCCCACTAAACATCTTCACATACTGATCAGCTAATTAAGAGAAAGGTGATGAAGCACCCCACATTAACATCCACACAGATCAAACAAAACCACCGTACGCTTCTCAGAAGCATCTTTACTTGGACCATACGCCACAGGATCCAGAAAGACCTCCACATGCCATCTCGTTGCGCTGCCCCAAAAACTGTAATGACCAAGCAGATGCAGCAGAAACGTTTGACTTTGCCCATAAATATAAAGACTGGGCACCTGAGATATGTAAATGGGTCATGTTTAGTGATGAATCTACACCCAGATGCATCAGAAGCAAGCAGGGTAAGATAAGGCGGCCACCAGGAGCTGACAGGTGCAATCCCCACTACACCATAAAGACAGTTAAACACCCTGATTTAGTCATGGTCTGGGCCTCCTTCAGTGGTGTAAAGGGATGTAGGGGACTGCAGTTCCTTCCACTCAACTACCATGAACTTGGACAGCTACATCATGTGCTAGAAGAGAAATTACTTCCACATTATGAGATCCACGAGAGAATTTTTTTCATGCAAGACTCTGCCCCCTGTCACAAGTCAAAGAAGACCATGAAGTGGCTCACTGACCATGGAATATCACTACTGGACTGGTCAGGTAACTTGCCTGGCCTCAATCGAAAAGAAAACGCCTGGGCAAAGAGGTAGTATGACCTTGAACAAAAAGGACTCATCATCAGTGAAGGAAGCTCTGTAGAATTTCAAAAATCTAGCTTGAAAGCATGCCTGCTAGAGTCCAAAAGGTCATCAAAGCCAGTGGACACATGATAAAATATTGAAATTTAAAAAATAATAATTTTTAAGTTTGTTTTACAGAACAATAATTACAATGTGTTACCAGG